CCTATTACAGCTATCTAGGACACTTGCGGAGTTTTATGTCGAGGGTTTTTTACATACTACTGCGCGAGACGCGAGGTGCGAGGTAAGCGAGAGGCAATTCCAAATACACGGCAATTCGAAAATTGATGCAGATCGAGTTTGCGTTGAGAGCGAGACACAAACCTAGTTCCGCAGTACGCGAACCTCAGTTGGAGATTACCCAGTGCGCGAGAGGCAGTCCGAGAAAATTCGGTGCGCCAGACGCTTGTGAGATCCGCGGTGCTAAAGTCGCAGTGCGAGATCCGTTGTGCGCGAGTCACAGTTCACGATTCACTGTGTGCGAGTCGCAGTCCGAGATTTGCTGCACGCGAGTCGCAGTCCGAGATTTGCTGCACGCGAGTCGCAGTCCCAGGTTTGCTGCGAGTCGGTGTCTGAGATTCGCTGCGAGCGAGTCACACGCCGGGATTCACTGTGTGCGAGACGCACTCCCACTGTGCACGAGTCCCAGTCCGAGATTCGCTATGCGCGAGTCGCACTCCGAGATTCGTTGTGCGCGAGTCACAGTCCGAGATTCTCTGTGCGCGAGCAGTCCAAGATTCTCTGTGCGCGATTCGCACCCCCGAGATTCTCTGTGCTTGAGTCGCTGTCCGAGATTCGCTGTACGCTAGTCGCAGTCCGAGATTCGCTGTACGCGAGTCGCAGTCCAAGATTCGCTGTGCGCGAGTCACAGTCCGAGATTCTCTGTGAGCGAGACGCAGTCCGAGATTCGCTGTGCGCGAGTCGCAGTCCGAGATTCGCTGTGCGCGAGTCACAGACCGAGTTTTTCTTCGCGCGAGACGCAGTACGAGATTTGGTATGCGCGAGACTCACCCCGAGATTCGCGGTGCGCGAGTCGCAGTTTGAGATTTTCTGTGCGCGAGACGCACACCGAGATATGCGGTGCGCGAGTCGCAGTCCGAGATTCTCTGTGCGCGAGCAGTCCAAGATTCTCTGTGCGCGAGTCGCACCCCCGAGATTCTCTGTGCGTAAGTCGCAGTCCGGGATTCGCTGTACGCGAGTCGCAGTCCAAGATTCGCTGTGCGCGAGTCACAGTCCGAGATTCTCTGTGAACTAGACGCGGTCCGAGATTCTGTGTGCGCGAGTCGCAACCCGAGATTCTGTGTGCGCGAGTCGCAGCCCGATATTCGCTGTGCGCTAGTAGAATTAATATTACCAATCATGTATGTGTTATATTGTTTGCCGTTTCGTATTCGTTTTAGGTTTATAAAACATTATTAATTTCCACTGATTTCTGTTTAATTTTTATGCGGTCCCATAACCATAATAAATTTTCCGGAAAACTGAGAAATATATTTTTGTAACTTGCTTCAAAGCAAAATACTGAATGTCATTCAATGTGCAAAATTTTCGACTTGGTGTTCATGTTGGAATTCATTACGTTAATGATTGTCTTTCTCGTATTACCTATTTTTATCTGTGAATAGTTGAAATAAAATAGCAATTCCCCAATTGATAAAATTAATAGTAATTTTTGTTTGTTTACTAATATTACGTGAATCCCTTAAAATCATGTAGGAATTTTCAAACATGTTATTCCTAAAAGGATGCTCTTTTTAATATTTTTCATATTGTTTCTCTTCGCTGAACACGCTGTTGAAGCATCTTGGAACGTCGTCCTACCGATTCGAGGTAACAGGTCGGACTGAGAATGAAGGCAAAGGGATAACGTGCCACTATTCTACTATATAATTGTATGTGCAGAAATAATGCATACACAACACAGTAGAATTAAAAAATATATAGAAACCAACACAATCGTCCATCAGAAATGCTAGCAAAAAGGGCTCGTGCAAGGGGATTACCTACTGCATCATTAAAACGCCTGTTAAGCCTATTAAGAAGTTTTCGATTATTTTTGTGTTAAAATTTTGCTAAATTTAATTCTGCAGTTTTCTTATGTGCCAATGCTGAATTAACTCTGTTCACGATTAAGAAGGCTAAACGTGCCATATTTGCAGTTTGATATGAACTTTATCGTGAATAGAATTCATTTGATTGAACTGATTTAATATTGAATTGGCGAGGAGTATATTCGTGAAGACCGTGTAGACAGGAAACCAATTAGAAACGTGTGCTGTGATGGCAATGAAATAACGTCAATACTGATAATATTTTGGTGATGAGAAAGAAAAAATGGTACGATAAAAGTCAGTTACGTGGTGGAAATTGAGGCCATGTAAAAGCTGGGTGTGTTGGGGCGGCGTGTGTTGTGCGTGTGTAGCAACTGTGTGAGACATGCTGACACGTGAAGGAGTGCAGCGTGCAATGGCAGTGATCATAGTAGCGGTTACGTAGCGTGTACAGTCCTGAAGTGAACAGTACTAGGGAGAGCAAGGACGGCAGCGAATGCAATGGTGATGCGGGCAGTGGAAACACACGTAGTGATGGCGTGGCACCGGATCTGGTTGCGGTAGCGAAGCCGATTGGGGTGCCAGTGGCAAGGTACTGACAGATTGAGCAATGGCGATGGGCGAATACAGATGTGGTAGTGGTGATAATAGAGGTAGATGTAGAAGCAGAGGATATGATAATGAGAGTTTTAATTGAGACAATCGTACAAGTTTTACGTACGGCGTTTATAATGAAAATGGGCTTAGTAGTGGCGGTTCTTATTTGAACTAAAGGAGACATTTCTGGTTTCAGCGAAAATGGTGGCGGCAATTGTAGTACAAGCGCTTGTAGCAGAAGTGCAGACGTTGTGGGGCAGGTGATGAGACAGGAATTATAGTGAATTCGTTTATTAATGGAGCGGTTTTAGTAGCAGGACGCTTTTATTTGAGGAGCCATTTTATTTGCAGGGACGTTTTATGTGACGGGGCCGTTTTTTGTGCTGGTCCGTTTAATGTGCGGGGCCGTTTAATGAGCGGGGCCGATTTATGTGCGCGGCCGATTTATGCGCGGGACCGTTTTATGTGACGGGCCCGTATTTTGTGCGGGCCGTTTAATTGCAGGGCCGTTTTATGTGCAGGACCGTTTTATGTGCAGGACCGTTTTATGTGCAGGGCCGTTTTATGAGAGGGGCCGTATTATGTTCGGGGCTGTTTTATGTGACGGGTCTGTATTTTGTGCGGGGCCGTTTAATGTGCGAGGCCGTTTTATGTGACGGGGCCGTTTTTTGTGCGAGGCCGTTTTATGTGACGGGGCCGTTTTATGTGACGGGGCCGTTTTATGTGACGGGGCCGTTTTATGTG